GATCCACCCCTTTCATGACTCTGGTCCGCCCCTTTCATGACCACGGTCTGCCCCTTTCATGCACCCGGTCCATGTCCATCCCTTTCATGACCCTGGTCTGCCCCTTTCATGACCCTGGCCCGCCCCTTTCATTACCCCGGTCTGCCCCTTTCATGACTCCACCCCATCCCTTTCATGACCCTGGTCTGCCCCTTTCATGACCCTGGCCTGCCCCTTTCATGACCTTGGTCTGCCCCTTTCATGACCCCAGTCCATCCCTTTCATGACCCCGGTCAATCCCTTTCATGACCCTGGTCTACCCCTTTAATTAATTGGATTTCTATCAGAGGTTCAGCATAACATGTGGGCATTGCCTAGGGTGGTCTATATGCAAATTTAGCCTGCCTAGGAACATCCACTCCTCCAGACTAACATCCACTCATCAAAGTATTTTGATATTTGCATAACTCCTCCAAAGAGCCAGCCCACTGTTTGCATCAGGTCTGAGGGCTCTTAAGAGGAGTACTGAGGCAGGGTGCTATGATGTTTACAGGAAGCTATGTTCAGCACCCTGCTGGCCCCTCCCACCACTATGATCTGCCTGCATTGCATAGAGAAGCACAGAGACCCAGTGAGGACATTTCTGAAGGTGTGTATATAAAAGCAGCAATTTTATTCATCTGTTGATGTTGTAGAAAAAGGAGGAATCAGGAAAAGCAAAATATAAGCAGATTAGACCAGCGTTACCATTTCCTTATATCACGGAGGCTGAATAACACTGAGGATTTTCCCAGCAGAGGTTCACTTCACTTCACTTCAGAATAATGAGGTTAGAAGATGGATGTTGTGCGGACCGGTTTGTCCAGAATTTCCGGACGCTTCTTCCCTCCGGGCACTTCTATGGCACGTTCACATACATGGTCCACACAAAGAGGAAACAAGTTACATTTCACTCCGTCCGTGCTGCGAATCCTCCGAACTTTCATGGTTTCCTTTTCCAAATTCTCTGCTGCTCACCCCAAATATATCTCAGAGACGCCCCGGCGGGTCCTGCCAGCAAATGAAAAGTCATTTACCTTTCACTGTATATTAGGAGGAGGAGCCTGTGGTGGAAGATCAAGACTGTGCTAGAATGTATTCCCACATTTGCAGCCAAATAGGAAAAACATCCACTATATGTGTGTTACATGTTATTGTATGTTTGTTACATGTTTCTATTCTCATAATGTAACTTAAAGGAGAACTATGGGGTTAGGGCTTTTCCCCATAGTTCTCCTTAGGGTAACGGGAGTACACAAACTAGTGTCCCCCTGTGACCCTACTGAAACGCCGCAGCTGAAGCGGATCCCGACAATTATGTCTGGATCAGCCCAGCTGCGTGAGTGACAGCTGGCTCTGCCTATCTAGAGGCAGAGCCAGCTGTACCCGCCCCCTCCCGTTCCGCCAGTCAGCGCTGGAGGATCGGAGCGGGGAGGGGGGAATCCAGTCCCTCCCCTGTCATGGCTCTCTGCAGTGACAGGATCGAGAGGCGAGCGAACCCGGTATGTGTTCGCTCACTTCCCGATCTACTGAGCCGACCTGTGACAGTCTCATTGTCACAGGTCGGCTAGAACTATGAGGCGAGTGAAAATCACTCACCTCATAGTTCTCCTTTAAAAAAAACCCACTAAACTAAACTCAGGATTTAATTAAAGTCCCCTAACTACAGGGATCCCAACCTGAAAAAAAGCCATTTCAGGGAAGTGCCCTTCTTATTTCAGGAAAGTGCCCTCCCCATCTGTCTGCAGAGGGGGGGGGGGTTGAGGGGGAGAGAGCACCCCCCTGAAATGATGGCAGATAGCACGATAAGCAATACTTTCTTTGCAATCTGCCGTTTATTTTTTTTTATAGTATTCTGACAGCTGCTGCCGTCAGAAAAAAACAGCATAGGAATGCATAGCTAGATTTCTATTGGCTATTTCAATTTGCAATATCCAATAGCAAGCTGGTTATTGCACCCGCCCACTGCTGATGTCAATCACTAGAGTAGGACCTGATGGAGAACTTCACGTCCACCTCTGCTGATTGACAGCATCGGGCGGGTGTAATAGCTAGTCTGCTATTGCAAAGTGAAATAGCCAATAGCAATCTAGCTATGCATTCCTATGCTGTTTTTAACCTTTTCGGGAGATGTTTCTCTTCCGGGTGGCCAGGACCCACTAATAGCGGGAGACTCCTGGAGCGTCCGGGAGAGTTGGGATGTCTGCAATTAACAAAAATGTATCTTATTTGTGTATCACTCAGCTGTAGATCCTCAAATCATCTCTGAATTAGTGCCGACACTGTCCTTCCTTCTGGAGGGGGGCTACTTTTGTTCCTCATTGTACCTGTGTGTGTTGTAAAGTAGTCACCGCTCCAAGCTCACTCCCGGGATGGACTACAATCTCATGTTTAGATTACTACTTTGTTTTGAGATTGTAGTCCATCGCGGGAGTGAGCTTGGAGCGGTGACCAGGGCGTTACCACGCCCCTCAGTGACCACACCCTTTAGTGGCCACACCCCCGTAACCACACCCATTTCCCCCAATATCCGCACCATTTAAAGACTCCTATTTTGTTAAGCCGCAAAGAAACATATTAAAAAGTATGATAAAAATAAAACTTTTATTCAAAGGTATTAAACTTGTAGGCACAATAGAAGTATTCTTATCAAATAAAACAACAGAAGGCAAACAATAAATGTCAAACTACAATAGAGTCTATAAAAATAAAGTGTCAGGTTGTCATGCCGATCCCTTTTTTCAAGTAAGTATATCTAGAAAAGTAAAAATAGAAAACAGAACACAAAACCCGGAATACGTGTAAAATGAATGTCCGAATATACGAAAAATGTATTCGGTCGCATAATAATTTGTTTGAGAATGTGTGGCGGCCATGTTGGCCACCGGCGTGTTCTGTGAATGCTTACCACCATCTTGGAGGCAGGGAGCATGATGTCACATGACGCCATGCATGCTTGGCGTCAGGTGACGTCACACGCCGATATTGGCCCCACCATCTTGGTGTATACCTAGATATACACCAAGATGGCGGCGCCCAACACGTGCGGTGTTATATGACGTCATGCGCCCTGCCTCCAGAGCACGCCAATGGCTGAATCCAAAATAGCATATAAATGTGTTTTGTTTGATGAAACAAATGAAAACTTTTTTAGTTTTCGTTCATTTCATCTGAAATGAATTTTTTGTCTTTCGCACTTGTCTAATAATATGTGTGTGTGTGTGTGGGGAGGGGGGGGGCAGTTTTCACTTTTTTAAAATATGTTTTTATTATTTTTTTCATATTTATTTATTTTTTACTGTTGGGGGGCTTCGGGGAAATATTAGGGGTCCAAACAGACCCCTGACATTTCCCTTGTAAAATAGAAAAGAAATTGAGGACACCAAATCCTCAATTTCTTTTTCTACAGCCTCAGCACTCAATGGATGGGAAGCTCTCAGAGGCTTCCCATTCAAATATTTACCATCAGCTGTTTCTGAATGGGGAGGAGCCTCTGTACTGAGTGCTTCTCCCCATTGGTGAAATCTTGAATGAACAGGCTGTGATGTAAATCACATGCTGTTCATTCATAACTGGGGACACATAGCGCTATGTGTCCCCAGTTATTTACAAACACTGGAGTGATCAGACGATCACTCCAGTGTTTGTCCTTCTCACACGGAGGACCGGTAAATATCACTGATATTTACCGATCCTCCGCTCAGCCACGCACAGAGCCGCTGTCATCCTGAAACTGACAGGATGACAGCGGCTCCGATCTCCTCCCCGCTCGGCCATCCTGACAGCTGCGGGCGCGGCTTCTCTCCCCCTCACCGCTCGGCCATCCTGACAGCAGGTAGACGAGGGAGCTCTGTCATGTCGGATGGCCAGCGGTAAGGAGGAGAGAAGCCGCCAGAGGAGGAGCTGTGTCGGCCGCCTTTGTTGCCATGGCGCCCTGTGCAGCCGCACACCCCTAAGGCCGACCCTGGAAGGGTGTGGTCACTGAGGGGCGCTGTAAAGCCCTGGTCACCGCTCCAAGCTCACTCCCGCGATGGACTACAATCTCAAAACAAAGTAGTAATCTAAACATGAGATTGTAGTCCATCCCGGGAGCGAGCTTGGAGCGGTGACTACTTTACAACACACACAGGGACCATGGGGAACAAACGTAGCCACCCTCCAGAAGGGAGGACAGTGTCAGCACCAATTCAGAGATGATTTGAGGATCTACAGCCAAGTGATACACAAAGAAGACCCAGTGCACATCTGAGCCGTGTAAGCCTGTCAGATCCCTGTAGTAGAAGAGAAGAGTGCATACGCCTCTCCGGTGGCCGGTTCTTCTACCTGCAGGGGATTGCCTTACAAAGAGAGGATGTAGATATTTCCAGAAGGAGACACACAGACATTTCCACAGACAGTGAGGATTCCAGGTCTGGTGTGCTGCAGAATAGGAGGCACAATGAACCATTTCTAGGGACACTGTGCTGCTAATCACTGTACTCCATGTCCCCCACATACAACACAACCTCCCATCAGTGCGCATGTCCTCCATATACAACACAACCTCCCATCAGTGCACATGTCCTCCATATAAAACACAACCTCCCATCAGTGCGCATGTCCTCCATATACAACACAACCTACCATCAGTGCACATGTCCTCCATGTTCCCCACATACAACACTACGTCCCATCAGTGCACATATCCCCCACATAAAACACAACCTCCCATCAGTGCACATGTCCCCCACATACAACACAACCTCCCATCAGTGCACATGTCCTCCATGTCCCCCACATATAACACTACGTCCCATCAGTGCACATGTCCCCACACAGACAGCTGTCAGAACACACGTGCACATGTGGCTATGAGGAACACGTGGCCACTCTCTCCCAGGTCATGGAACTGTCAGGGAAGATACAGAGGAAGGCGGTGCCGCTGGAGACAGACCCGCCCCCTCCAGCAGCTGCGGCAGTCTGTCCGGGCGCTGGCTGGTGACGTCAGTGCAGAGCGTCGAATGTTTACGTGGAGATGGGGGAGAGCGGTGGCCGCTAACAGTGCGCTGTTTCTGTGTGTGCAGGAGGAGGCGGAATGGACGAGGAGGACCAGGAGAGGAAGAGGAAGCTGGAGGCCGGCAAAGCCAGGGTGAGGCCAGCATGGATGTGCCTGTCACTGACTGCGTGTCACCTGTCACATGGGTGGCACTGTCTACATACATGCATGTATGTGTGCGTGCCCATCCTATTGTGTGCACTGACTGTCACCCGTGTCTGTTGCTACCTGGTTAATTCTATGTACATGTGTCACCTGTGTGTATATAGTATGTATGTGTGTGTATATATATATATATATATCTGTGTATGTTCCTTCCTTGCTGCTCACATCATTATATATGCCAATTACATTGTGTTTCTGGCCCTGACCTGATGAAAGGGGAGGGGGAATCATTGCCTAAACCCCCTTGAAATGCTTTGGCTTTCTTATTGATTACCATTGCTTCCAACTCTCTGACCATTGGCTCCTTCTGCTTCTAGTATATTTTAATATTTCACAGGACAACAGCATGGTTGGACAAATCCCAGGAGCCTAACTTTTGAGGTTTTCTCCAGTTGTTGCCAATGGAGCTGGCTCCTAAAATAATCCTGCTGACTCCTGGATTCCATATGAATCTGTCCACCGCTGAAGTAGAGAGATGATGTAAGCACACAAATGTATGTATTTTTTTCTCATGTCACCTGTCACGTATGTCATCTTGGTGTTAATGTCTATTTAGCCACTGCTGTGTCACTGATCATGTGTGCCTCTTCCCTGCTGTGTCACTGTCAGTATATTTGTCCCCTCCATTCTGTGCTTTGCGAGTCACCTGTGTGCATTGTATATGTCCCCTGTCACATTTGTGTCATTGGCAGTCACCACACTGGGTACCATTATATGTCTCTGTATTCAGCTGTGACTCATCTGTGTGTGTGTTTCATTGTATGACTGTCCGTGCACATTTGTGTTTATTTTTGTGTCGTGTCCGTACCATGGTGTGTATTTTAAAGCTGCATATCGCTGTATTCTTAGTTGCCAAATACACCAGGTGTATTCTGATATATATATCTATATCATGTCCTCTGTCACCCTCATAGCATATATCACAGTGTGTCCATTTCAGGTTGTAGGTCACTATACGGCATTGTGCATGTGTCAGTTTTAAAACATGTGTCAGTATATCTCTTCTATTCTCTGCATATGTGTTTATCAGTGTGATGTGCTACTTATGCTAGAGTCCAGGCAGTCACCAGGATCGTAAGTAAGGTGACATCTCTGTAATGGAGCCTCTGATAGCAGTTAGAGAATGGTTGCACTTTAAGACAAGGTGAGGAGAAGTTATCATAACTGGAGCAGACAAAATCTGGAGCAGCTGTGCATGGCAACCAATCAGCTTCTCTATTTCATTTTCAAATCTTAACTGAACACACTGAAGAGAGAAGCTGATTGGTTGCCCTGGGCAACGGCTCCAGATTTTGTCTGCTCCAATTTTGATAAATTCCCCTCATTGTGATTTTTCCTTTTTTGCCCTGACCTAAACTAACCCCCCCCCCCCAAGAT